CTCTGTCTCTCTCTGTCTCAAAAATAAATAAACGTTAAAAAAAGGGGCGCCTGGGTGGCGCAGTCGGTTGAGCGTCCGACTTCAGCCAGGTCACGATCTCGCGGTCCGTGAGTTCGAGCCCCGCGTCGGGCTCTGGGCTGATGGCTCAGAGCCTGGAGCCTGTTTCTGATTCTGTGTCTCCCTCTCTCTCTGCCCCTCCCCCGTTCATGCTCTGTCTCTCTCTGTCCCAAAAATAAAACATTGAAAAAAAAAAAAAAAAAAATTTAAAAAAAAAAAAAAAAAAATTTAAAAAAAAGAAATACTGTGACCTTGCAATATGAAGCTTGAGATAGAAGCAAATTTGGGAGAAATCCTAACCGGTTAAAACTCTGTATGCGTAAGTGCCTAATATATACCTGTGTAGTTGTATAGATGTATCTACAGATATACCTTCCACAATGTTTACTCACTTCTCAAGATTTTTAGGATGGTACAAGTTGTGGATCAAATTTAACATAAGCAGGGGCACCTGGCTGGGTCAGTCTGTAGAGCAAGTGACTCTTGATCTCAGGGCTGTGAGTTTGAGCCCCACATTGCGTATGGAGATTGCTTAAAAATAAAATGTTTAAAAAAATTTAACATATGGGATGCCTAGGTGGTTCAGTCGTTTAAGCTTCCAGCTCTTGAATTTGGTTCAGGTCATGATCCCAGGGTCGTGGGAACAAGCTCTGTGTCAGGCTCTATGCTGAGCATGAAGCCTGCTTAAGATTCTCTCTCTCTCTCTCTCTCTCTCTACCCCTTTCCCATGCTCGCAATCTCTCTCTCTTTCTCTCTCTCTCTTTCTCTCTCTCTCATTCTCTTTGTCTCCCTCTGCCCCTCTCCTCCACTCAATCTCTCTCTCTCTAAAGTAAAAAAAAAAATGAAAAATAAGTGAGCATTAAAAAAAATAAACATATAAGTAACTTTCTTTTTCTCTTTTTCTTGCTTTCCCACCATGAAAAGGCATTGTGCTCCTTTGTGTAATTTCATTTCTGTGAAGTTTCACAGCAGCGTTCCTTCACAGTGGAGATGCTGTTCCCATTTTACGGAAGAAGTTTTATTCCCATTTTATCGATGAAGTGAAGTTTGGTGCCACACACACAAAGCAAACACTGTATGTTTGGTCCCAGTTTTTGACTTTGGCCCAGGGGTTTGGCTTTGAAGGAAGAGACTGAATTGGGAGAAGGGCCCGGAACTGCCTTGACAGGGAATCCCCAGTGGTACCAGAATTGGTCTGACCACACTCCTACTCAGGCCACCTTGGCATTTTGAGAGAGAGACAGACAGACAGAGGTTCCCAAGCAGGCTCCACACTGACAGCAGAGAGCCCCATATGGGGCTTGAACTCACGAACTATGAGGTCATAATCTGAGCTGAAGTCAGCTGCTTAACCAACTGAGCCACCCAGGAGCCCCAGGACCTGTGATTCTAATCTCTAATTTTCATGCCATTTTACCTCCAACTGCCTGTGCCTTGGTAGCCTCCTCATAGCTCCCCTGCCTTTGGGCTCTTCCCAGATGCAGTCCATTTTGTACATTGTCCTCAGCTTCATCTTCCTAGAAAGTCCTGCTCCTGAATCTTTAGCAGTTCCCAGGTGCCCACCGGCAAGGTCCAAGTCTGCTGGTTTGGCTTTCACTAGTGGAGACGCCTACATTCTGACCTCTAATTGCCTTTCTGTCCTTGGGTCCCAAGATTTGTGCCGCCTCCCTGACGTTCTCACGTGTACACATTTTACATCCAGTCTCTGATTCCCCACCTCTGCTGGAGCTCACAGCTTTCTCCCTGCCTGTGGTGGGGGCAGGGAAAGGACTTTAGCTTGCTTTCTTTTTTCTTTTTTTTTTTTTTCCTTTTTAAAAATTCGTTTATTTGTTTATTTAAAGATTTTATTTTTTTAAGTAATATCTACACCCAACATGGGGCTTGAACTCACAACCCAGAGACTGAGCCAGCCAGGCGCCCCCTTTGTTTTTGTTTCTGTTTTCCAACAGCTTTATTGAGGTATAATTTTATACAAAGAACTGCATATTTTATGTGTACAATTCACTGCATCTGGACATACGCAAACAGCTGTGATACCATCACCATAAGCATAGCTTTCGTTTTCAAACAGCAGCTAACAGATTTTGAGTGCTCATATGGCTCAAAAGTCAAATAATATAGAAAGATATTTCCCCATCTTCCAAACTGTTCTCTATCCCACTTACCCTGCCCCTTTCCCTTGGTAACCCCTTCTATTAGTTTCTTTCTTTTTTTTTTTTTTTAACGTTTATTTATTTTTGAGACAGAGAGAGACAGAGCATGAACGGGGGAGGGGCAGAGAGAGAGGGAGACACAGAATCTGAAACGGGCTCCAGGCTCTGAGCAGTCAGCACAGAGCCTGACGCGGGGCTCGAAATCATGGACCGTGAGATCATGACCTGAGCCGAAGTCGGATGCTTAACCGACCGAGCCACCCAGGCGCCCCCCTTCTATTAGTTTCTTATATATCATTCTAGGGTATCTGTATGGATACATTTCCCCCCATTTATATGTGAAAGGAAACATGCCATACGTACTGCCTCACTTTGCTCTTTATCAAGTTATCTTAACTGAGCTCTGTGTATCAGTACATAGACATTTCCTCATTCTTTGTTTTTCTTTGGCTTCATAGTATTCCATCATATCCTTATTCCAAAGTTTATCTAGTCCCCTGTTGATGGGCATATGTCATACTGCATATGTGCAAGTTTATCTAGGATTCTTGGGCCAAAGGCATATGTCATTTGAGGTTTAGGTAGATATTGTTAAAATACCTTTGAGCTTTCTTGGTTGGTAATTTTTAAGTATGAAGAGAGCAGCCCAAATTCCACTTCCCCTAACTCCCCCCAAGCCAAAGGGAGCTGTCCTCCTAATCTCCTCTATTATGGGTCTTCGGCACTTATTTAACATTCCCAGCCTCCTCTGTATTTGTGTTCATATGCATGTTATGTCTCCACCTAGAGCAAAAGAGCTCAATTCCTTATCTCACATCCTTAGAATTCCTGGTACCGTGTGAACACATCTGCTCATTGATCAAGAATTCTTGTCTTTTGTACAAGAAGAGAAATCTCGGCTTTGGACCTGAAAATAAAGATGGTTGCCTGCTGATCCTTGTTAGTATCTTATTGAAACAAAGCTCTTCAGAGGGCAGATGGTCTGGGGCAGGCACCACAAATCCAATGTAAAAAATATTTATTGAGCATCAGAAGTGTAAAGACACAGTGTGAGAGGTTGAGGAGGAAACCATGAATAAGACATGAACCTCATGAACCTTTTCCCCAAGTTTATTTGGCCTGTACAGTGTTCAAAACATTTTTCAGAAATTTTTATAATTGTAAAATTTTATAATTTTTATAATTTTATAATTATATAAATAATATATTATGTTGTTTATATAATATATATATTGCATACATAAAGGTACCCAGATCTTAAATATGCAGCTGGAATGATCACAAAACGTGCTTGAAACATTTGTAGTTAGTCACCAAACTTTAAAAAGCTCTTGAAAAGCCATCTGTGGTAATAGTTTCCCCGCTTTGGGTGGGTACTCATTCCCCAATTTTCCTATATCCTATTCCCTGAATGCATTTATATTTGAAATCCCTGGGCCTCAATAAAGTAGGATGCCCCAGTATCTGGGAGGAAGATGGGGTTTGTTGGGGGGGGTTGGAAGAGCAGAGATAAGAAAACAAGAAATTGATGGGGCATCTGGGTATCTCAGCCAGTTAGGTGTCTGCCTCTTGACTTCTGCTCAGGTCATGATCTCACAGTTCGTGGGGTCAAGCCTCACGTAAGGCTCCTGGATGATGTCGCGGAGCCTGCTTGGGAATCTCTCTCTTCCCTCTCTCTCTGCCCCTCCCCAACTGGTATGTGCTTGCTCTCTCTCTCTCTCTCTCTCAAAATAAATAAACTTAAGGAAAGAAAAGAAAAGAAAGAAAACAAATTGACCAAAAGAAAGGAAAGGAATGGAACAGCATCAAACATCAGAATATGCACCCTCTGGAGCAGGTGCTCCTGTGTCCAGTGCCCAGTGTAGAGATTACTTTAACTTTTAACAAAGTTACAGCATGTTTGCAATAAAAAACAAAATCAACTCATTTTCTGCATTTTAATCTCTTCAAGGACTGTTTTGTCTGAGGCTCCTCAAATAACATTGTTGGTGGTCAAAAACTGAAAGCATTAGTTTGTATTTTAAAGTGTAACATTAAAATACCTGATGAATCGATAACTTGAGCTGCCTGTCAAAGCCATGACTCCGAGAACAAAACCCAATTCTAAAAGTGTTTATCTGATGTTGTCACAGAATAGATTTTAAAACTGCAGCCACCTGCCTTCTAAAGTTTATCTCCGTTGCACCTGCGCTCACAAATACTTCTGCCCACACACAGGAACTATTGTTCAAAGATTTTGCTGTTGATTCATCATGCAGGCTCTCCAGGAATTATTCACACTTTAAAATTTATTTTAAAAAAATAATGCATGCACATGATGAAAAACAAACACAATTCTGCAAAATAATACAGAAAATTCAATTTTTTTTCTCATCTTTGTAGTCCTTTTCACCAGAAGAAAGCACTATTTTTTTTTTTCAGAAGAAAGCACTATTACCAGTTTCCTGTGTTCCTTCCAAAGATATTCTTTGAATGCACAAACACATACATGTGCGATGTGCACACATATGCACATACACAAAGCCTCCCCCTTTTCCACACAGATAACAGCTAACTGTATGCTTCTCTTCACCTGTTTTGTTTTCATTTCACTTCATGTATCAAAGGAGATTTTTGGGCATCAGTATGTACATCCACGTTATTCTTTTGGCTGTGTAATACATTATATGAACGTTTCATAATTTAACCAGTCTCTTACTGGTAAATGTTTAACTTTGCAATCTTTCTACTATGAGCAACGCTAAGAACATCCCTTTACATTTATCTCTGTGCATGGGTGCACAGTTATCTATGGGATGTTATCTATGGGATGAATTCCTAGAATTGGAGTTACGGGATCAAAAAGGTAGGTGCATCTTAGTTTGTTTTTTTTTTTTTTTTAACATTTATTTATTTATTTTAAGAGAAATAGATAAGTGGGGAGAGAAAGAGATCAAGTGGGGGAGGGGCAGGCAGAGAGAGAGAGAGAGAGAGAGAGAATCCCAAGCAGGCTCTACCCTGTAAGCTCAGAGCCTGATGTGGGGCTCGATTTCATGTACCGTGATATCATGACCTGAGCTGAAATCGAGTCAGGCGCTTAACCAACTGAACCACCCAGGTGCCCGGGATGTATGTTTTAAACACCGTTTGTTGTCGCCCATTTGCCCCACAAAGAGGGTGCCACTGTACCTTCCATCATTGTGTGTAAGTGCACTTTCTCAGGATCCTTGCCAACCCTTTTTATCGGGTGTTTTGATCTTCGCAAATCTGGTAGATGAAAATTTATGTTTTATTGGGTTTCAACCTGCCTTTCTCTTGTCACGATCCAGGATTACTTTGTCCAGCAAGAACACTAGCTCCGGGCTGCCGGACAGGCCGACAAGAGCCCCACTTAGAGCTCCTTGTCATTACCTGCCCTGCTCTTCTGTTTTATCCTTTTTCCTCTCCTTGGAGCAAGAGTGAGACAGCCTAGCTTTAAAAAAACAAAAAAAAACAAAACCTTCATGGGGAAAGAAACATCGCAGACATAATGACTAAATGACACTTATTTTTTTTGATAAACCCATTCTCTTTTCTCTGACCCACCTCTCTTTGCCCAGTCTGCCACTACCTCTTTCAAACCTTTTCTTTCTGTACCTTCTGCCTCTACCTCACACTAGTCAGAGATAGGAACACCTCAGCCCTCTGTGTGGACAGGTTTTTCCCAAAAAAAGCTCTCCAAGAACTCTGGGCTTATTTCTTTGATGGTCCCCGGAAACGATTTCTGCTTAGCAACCCAACAAGAGCAGATCCATTAGCGCAGGCTGTAACCTGGCCCCTTAGTACACTGCCTGGCACACAACAGACAATAACTGTCTTGACAGAGACATAAAAATAACACACATCAATCGCAGTAAAACCTACATAACAAAAGTTGCCGTCTTAACCACCTTTAAGTACACAGTTTAGAGGCGTGAAGTACACTCACGTCTCAGTGGTTTTCTTTTGGATGAATGCATAAATAGTGGTATCAGTTACTTGTTTCTGAAAGTCAACAAGAGTCAGACCATCATTTTAATTCATGTTCTTCTTTCCTCCAGACGAAGTCATACGGAAGCGCCTCCTAATTGATGGAGACGGCGCTGGAGATGATCGGAGAATCAATCTGCTAGTGAAAAGTTTCATTAAATGGTGCAACTCTGGGTCCCAGGAAGAGGGGTATTTATTTCATCTCACTTTTGTTTCTACACCAGTGGGCTGATAAGAGTTTAAACCCTGTATACAGCCTATCAGTATTTCAGATTTTCACTCACCTTCAGTGTCCAGTGGAGGCAATTTGGGGTTAATCAGCTATAGATTTTTCTGGTCTTTCTTTCTATTCAGAGAATAGAAATAATAGAATAATAATAATAGAAATAATAATATTAATAATATTAATTAATAATAATAGAAATAATAAACATTTTATGTTTATTAAAATGTGCAGAAGGTATGGTGGTAAGAAAGGAGAATTAAATTTTGGCTCACTAATTTGGTCAATTTTAGCAGGTAAGTTAGACAAAGTATCTAAATGAAATTGTCTTTGTTTTATTTTTTTTTAAAGTAAGCTGTAGGCCCAACATGGGGCTTGAACACATGACCCCAAGATCACAAGTCACCTGTGCTACCAACTGAGCCATCCAGGCACCTCAATTTTCTCTTTTTTTAATAAGCTAATAGATAGTTGTTGCAAGGGTTTATACATATTTAATAATTTTCCTTGCGTTAGAAAAATTTCCCTCATTTGAATTAACTTTTCACATAGATCTTTCTAAAGAGTGAAAAAAATTGTGAAAATAAAATTGGGAGCATAAAAAAACATCTTAATGAAAACATTTTAAAATGTATTTTAAACAAAATTCAAACAAGTAGTTGTTTGAATTTAGCTTATAGTGATAAGAACAGTGGTCTCATCTTTGCACGTGTAACTAAAGCAGTTTATAAATTCAAGTACATCACATCTGGAGAAAGAAAACATAAGGGAAAGATATTTTAAATTATTTTATAATTTTTTTAATTTTTTAAAAATTATTTTAAATAAAGCAAAGGATTCTCTTAGAACTTGATAGGATTTAATTACCAAATCTTGGCGTGTACTATAATGGTTCAACTTTGGTATTTCACAAAAAACTTTATTCTGTTTTTTCTCTCTTTTTCGCTAGATACAGCCAGTACCAACGTATGCTGAGCACGCTGTCCCAATGTGAATTTTCAATGGGGAAAACTTTGCTGGTATATGATATGAATCTCAGAGAAATGGAAAATTATGAAAAAATTTACAAAGAAATAGGTAAAGAAACTTAAAGCAATTAATGTTTCCATGTAATTTTAATTTTTATGACCCAAAGGAGACAATATCTGCTAACATTTTTCTTTGGTTTGTGGTAAAATAATAACAATGTTAATAGAATATAGTAAATGTTAGCTACAAAAATGTATTCTGATATGATACAATACTTAGGGTTACAGCTGTTTTTTAAACCACCAGCATCTATTTTATTAGCAATGGAACTTAATTTAAAAACACATTTTAGGGGCGCCTGGGTGGCGCAGTCGGTTAAGCGTCCGACTTCAGCTCAGGTCACGATCTCGCGGTCCGTGAGTTTGACCCCCGCGTCCGGCTCTGGGCTGATGGGTCAGAGCCTGGAGCCTGCTTCCGATTCTGTGTCTCCTTCTCTCTCTGCCCCTCCCCCCTTCATGCTCTGTCTCTCTCTGTCTCAAAAATAAATAAAAACGTTAAAAAAAAATTTTTTTTAAATAAAAACACATTTTAAAATTAAAAATGGATGGAGATTATACATGTTGTTACAACTGTCTTTAAAAAAAACCTTTTCATATAGAATGTAGCATTGCAGGAGCACATGAAAAAATTGCTGAGTGCAAAAAGCAAATTCTTCAAGCAAAGCGAATACGAAAAAATCGCCAAGGTAAGGGTTTTGTGGAATTTAGTGTGCAAATGCTTTATTACTGAGTACTATTTTCATGTAGTTTTTAATGTTGTGTGGTAAAATCTTCAGTAAGAATCAACCTGAATTATTAAAAAGAATTAGGAGCTAAACTTAATTCTTTAAAGCTATGCTATTCCTTAAAATAGTGGAGAAGGAAGGCTATGCTGGAAAAAATATTTTTGTTTGTTTGTTTGTTTGTTTGTTTGCTGGATGGTATTGATTATCCAAATATTTCTTAAGTATTCATTTTTTCTTTTTACTCTTCAGACCCCTTTGCCTAAATAATGTTACAGTTAATCAGCAAAGGCAATTCAGACAAATACACTAGACCTCAGGTTTTGTTTGTTATTTGTTTCACGGAACTACTTGCCAGAAAAAAAAAAAGAATTTAAGCTCAGTGAGTTTTTATTAAGTACAAAGCAAGCAAACATTTGCAAGCTGCCTAAATATCTAATAAGAGGAGAAGTAAAGTTTAGTTTTGCCCTGATTTCTTTTGTTTTTTAATCAGGGTTTGTCCTCATTGCAGTCCATAAAAACTAGTCCAAAATAATTTTTAATGGCTGGGGCATTGCTTCTCCTATAATGTAAATTGAAAGAAAGAAAGATAAAAAATATAATGCATAATCACAATTGTAACCTATATACCAAAAACTAGAAGGAAATAGAAAATGTAAACGGTTATTATTTTGGGGCTGTGGGGTTTTATGGCTTAGGGTTTTTTGTTTTTGTTTTTGTTTTTCACTGATCACGTATTACTTTGTAATCTAAAAAAATTTTATTAGAAGTCACACTTTTGGGGCATCTGGGTGGCTCAGTCAGTTAAGTATCCAGCTTTGCCTCAGGTCATGATCTCACAGTTTGTGAGTTGGAACCCTGTGTCGTGCTCTGTGCTGACAGCTCAGAGCCTGGAGCCTGGTTCGAATTCTGTGTCTCCGTCTCTCTCTGCCCCTCCCCTGCTCGTGCTCTATTTCTGTCTCTGTCTCTGTCTCTCTGTCTCACAAATAAATATTAAAATTTTTTTTCTCTTTAAATAAAGAAGTAAAAGTCACACTTTTATTGGGGCATCTGGATGGCACAGTCAGTTAAGCATGTGACTTTGGCTCAGGTCATGATCTCACAGCTTGTGAGTTCAAGTCCCATGTTGGGCTCTTTGCTGACAGCTCAGAGCCTGGAACCTGCTTCTGATTCTGTGTCTCCCTCTCTCTCTGCCCCTCCCCGACTCTCTCTCTCTTTCAAAAATAAACATTAAAAAAACTTTTTAAGTCACACTTTTGTTGAATTAATATGCTGATTTTCAAATCAATGAATTTTACATTTTAATGAACCAATTAAGATGCTTAATTCCTTATTTAAAAAAAATTGTTTTTTGAATTCGTTCTAAAATGCATATGGTCAAGTTCAGTGGCCAATTTACAGCAATGTATTTAATAATTAATACCGATTCTAAAATAATTTAAAAATGTTTTACAGTGCCTTTTCTGATTAGCTGAGGCTTTTAAATGAATGCTGCCATTCATCATTTCATAAGAAAGGCCAACAGGAAATAACGAGGAAACCTGAAAGTCTCAGTGGAACAGAAACAAGGAATTTTATCAGTTCTGAATTTTAAATCATTTCTAAGTTTCTGAAATCTTTACCTTTAGAATGAGAATGAGATGTGTAATTTGCCCTTGTTAAGATCCAAAATTAATGATAGGATATATTTACCTAGCTGATCTTTTCTTTGCTGGGCAAATAGGTAGTGAGATCCTCATCAGAATCAGTCTGCTTAATGATCAATAGTGGCTTAAGTTCCCTTATACTCTGCTGGCTTCTTATATCCTACCTAGGGATAGGTAAATGGAAAAACCGATTGGGAGCAAAAGTCCTTGTTTAAAATTGTTTTGAGGGGCGCCTGGGTGGCGCAGTCGGTTAAGCGTCCGACTTCAGCCAGGTCACGATCTCGCGGTCCGGGAGTTCGAGCCCCGCGTCGGGCTCTGGGCTGATGGCTCGGAGCCTGGAGCCTGTTTCCGATTCTGTGTCTCCCTCTCTCTCTGCCCCTCCCCCCTTCATGCTCTGTCTCTCTCTGTCCCAAAAATAAATAAACGTTGAAAAAAAAAATTTTTAAAAATAAATAAATAAATAAATAAAATAAAATTGTTTTGAAATAGGGGTACCTGAGTGGCTCAGTTGATTAAACGTCCGACTCCAACTCAGGTCATGATCTCACAGTTCATGTGTTTGAGTCCTGCATAGGGCTGTATGCTGATAGCTCAGAGCCTGGAGCCTGCTTTGAATTCTGTGTTTCCCTCTCTCTCTGCCCCTCCCCTCCCCCTCTTGCTCTCTCTCTCTGTCTCTGTCTCTCGAAAACAAACAAACATTAAAAAATAAAAAAGTTTTGAAATAATGGATTATAGTTACAGGCCAACCAAGTGACATTGGCGATACTCTTTCCACCCTTAAGGTTTTTTTATTTCTTTTTTTTAAAAAAACAAAATTTTTTTTAACATTTATTTATTTTTGAGACAGAGAGAGACAGAGCATGAACGGGGGAGGGTCAGAGAGAGAGGGAGACACAGAATCGGAAACAGGCTCCAGGCTCTGAGCTGTCAGCACAGAGCCCGACGCGGGGCTCGAACTCACGGACCGCGAGATCGTGACCTGAGCCGAAGTCGGACGCTTAACCGACTGAGCCACCCAGGCGCCCCGAGGTTTTTTTATTTCTTTATGCACTCAGAAAGTGATTAGGAGAGATCTGTCATGTTATACATTTCGTTTTCATATCCAGGTTCAAAAAAGCCTTAATTTGATAAACATTTTTATATCTTTCAGAATATGATGCTTTGGCAAAAGTGATCCAGCATCATCCAGACAGACATGAGACACTAAAGTAAGTTTAGAGTTTACTTTGAAAGGAACTAATCTTTATACGTAAATGTTCACATGCTAGCCTGTGTTTTCCATTTTTATGGGAGTACAAAATATGTTTCAGAAGGAGGGGTCACATCTTCCCAGTAACATATTCTAATGCTGCTTGATTAAATTTTTTCCTTCCTCCAATCTAACTGCCTCTAGGTCTAAAATAAATGCATATAGGGGCACCTGGATGGCTCATTTGGTTCAGCATCCAACTCTTGGTTTCGGCTCAGGTCATGATCTTGTGGTTTGTGAGTTCGAGCCCCACACCTGGCTCTGCACTGATAGTGTGGAGTCTGCTTGGGATTCTCTGTCCCTCTCACTCTCAAAAATAAATAAACTTAAAAAAATAAATTCATATAATATACATCACACTAAAATGGATAAATAAAATATGGTGTACTCATATAGTAGAATACTAAATGAGGAGTGTAAAACAAATTAGATATACACTTTAAAAAATTTTTTTAAATGCTTTTATTTATTTTTGAGACAGAGAGAGACAGAGCATGAGCAGGGGACGGGCAGAGAGAGAGGGAGACACAGAATCCAAAGCAGGCTCCAGGCTCTGAGCTGTCGGCACAGAGCCTGACTTGGGGCTCGAACTCACAGACTGTGGGATCATGACCTGAGCTGAAGTCGGACGTTTAACCGACTGAGCCACCCAGGCGCCTCTTATACACTTTTTAAGCTCAGATTTCAAAACACAATCAGTGAAAAGAAAAACAGAAGACATACAATGAATTTTAAATTATTCCTGATCTTCTGTAATACTTGCAGAATAGTAACCATTTATAAAGTTAACGTCCCCTCATTATCTACTAATACTGTATATAATTTAGAGGGACAAATAAATATATGGGTTGGAATGATACAGTGATTGCCTGACTGGGGAGTAGAGGAAGATAAAAGGCCTGAGATAGAGGACAGGCAATAAGGTTCTAGTATCTCAAGTTAATCTGCAGTGTTTTATTTCTTTTACCAAGAAAAAGAGAAGAAGAAAGACTTATTTTGTCAAATAAGAATGACAAAACACTAAAAGTTGTCAAATCTTGGCGGTATGATATCCTATTATCTGTGTCTTCTTAGATTTTAAAAATTATCTAGAAATTTGATTTTAATGAAATTAGTGCACATTTAGAAGTTAAGAAATCATCCCTCGCTTCAAAGTTTCATCATAATGGAGTCTAAGAACTTCTTATCCTTTAAAAAAAATTTTTAAATACTCTTTAGTAATTAAAAATTTAGGCATTAATTGTGAATTCTGTTTCCCCAATTAGCAAAATGTAACACTGTTTTGTTTTCAGGGAACTAGAGTCTCTGGGAAAAGAACTGGAGCATCTTTCACATATTAAAGAAAGTGTGGAAGATAAGGTATTTGCACACGTATTTGAGCCTCTGTGATATGTGTATGCTTATAGATCGGTGTGCATTAACTCTTTTCTCCTGAACACAGCTGGAACTGAGACGGAAACAGTTTCACGTTCTACTCAGTACCATCCACGAACTTCAGCAAACGCTGGAAAGTAAGTAGAAGTCACGGAATGAATGTTTATAAGGACTTTTAAGCGATCCAGGGGTGTGCCCTCTAAAATATACGTCTTCTTGACAGAGCATACCTGCAGTTTCAGAGTAGGAGTATAGCTGGATGATGCCAGAAGGCATTCATGTAGTTCAACTTTCCGTATATATGCAGAAAAGCCTGAAGGTGTAACGATATATGATTTAAATACATAACCACTGTTTCATATAAAGAGAAATGCAAAGGTGATAGATTTGGAATTCTTCTTGGTTTATTATAGTTTATTGCTGTAAAGTAATGCTGTGAAGTAATTCAGGACCCAGGCAGGCAATGGTGAGTAGGTGAAGTCATTAGCACATAAGCACATTTGCCTAGTCAGTGAATGGAACGTACTTTCAGGAACTGGAGACTTGCTCTTTGTATTGATTATAGCAAATTGGAAATTTCTATGCTATCTGATTTCCTGATCATTTTCAAGAAAAGCCTAGGAGCACCTGGGTGGCTCAGTTGGTTGAGCATCCCACTCTTGATTTTGGATTGAGCCCTGCGTCAGGCTCTGCACTGATAGAGTGGGAGGGAACCTGCTTGGGATTCTTTCTCCCTCTCTCTTTCTGCCCTTCCCTCTGCTCACACACTTTCTCTCTCTCTCTCTCAAAATAAAGAAATAAATTAAAAAAAGAAAGAAAGAAAAGAAAAGCCTAAAACCTAGATTTTTAAAAAAATGTATTCTCTCACATACATTTTAAACTTTTTTTTTTTACATTTTTTAAACATTAATTCATTGTTGAGACACAGAGCGTGAGCATGGGAGGGGCAGAGAGAAGGGGAGACACAGAATCCGAAGCAGGCTCCAGGCTCCAAGCTGTCAACACAGAGCCTGACGTGAGGCTCAAACCCAAGAGCAGTTCAGTCGTGACCTGAGCGAAGGCGGACGCTTAACTGAGCCACCCAGGTGCCCCTCTCTCACATACATTTTAAAAAATGTATTCTAGTGGCGCCTGGGTGGCTCAGTCAGTTAAGCGTCCGACTTCGGCTCAGGTTATGATCTCACAGTTCGTGGGTTCGAGCCCCGCATCGGGCTCTGTGCTCTCCCTCTCTCTGCCCCTCCCTAGCTCATGCTCTGTCTCTCTTTCTCTCTCTCTCTCTCAAAAATGAATAAGCATTAAAAATTTTTTTTCAATGTATTCTATCACATAAATTTTACATTTTGATTATGCTCATAAACACCAACAGCCAAAACAGCATTTTTAAAACCAAACACTGTGTGGGTCAATTGCAGTCATGGACTGCCATTTTGCCATCTTTTTAGATATATCAGCTAATAAAGGATAAAAATGTTGTCATGTATTTGCTAAATATATAACTTAAGAAAATTTGACTGCAGTTTTATGGTTCTTTCTCAACTACAGATGATGAAAAGCTCTCCGAAGTAGAAGAAGCTCAAGAAACCAGCATGGAAACAGACTCCAAGCCATAGACAGGCTAATCGTTCACCATTCCCAAGAATACAGAAGTAACAACATGCTCACTGTGTTTGGAACTTGTTGCACTCTTGAGATTTAAAGTTTTGGCAGTGAACTACTTTGCTTTTAAATATTAATGTACAGTTCATTCCGATTTCTTTACACAAAGGAAAAAGACTTTAATATCGATTTGTTTGTATTGAAATGCCTTTTTTATTCTTGAAAGGTAGGAAGCAACATCCCAAAATGTTTAATAGAATGTTTTCAAGCCAGATATGTTTTGTGCTCAGTAGTGTTGTAGGTAGTTTTTAACTGGTAACATTGATTGGCTTATAAACTATGTTGAAGGTTGTGAGAAAGCGGCATTTCCAGGATATGGGTGAGAAAATGAGTCAATCTGGAAATTGTTACCACTTTTGAAAATGGAGTTCATGAATAGGCTTCAAGAGGGCTGCAAATTTGTGAAATTATGTTCAAAATAGGGGTAGCGTATGCTCATTTGGGGAGAAGTTGCATGATACTAACAATCGGTGGTGTAAGAGGTAATTATAAGATGAAAGCAAATCAATATGCATTGCTTTCTAGATCTCTCTCCTCAACACTTGAGCAATGTGGTTATAAAATGTTTTGTTAATATGTTTTCTCCTACTGTTTCATTATGTAGGGGTCATTTTCAGCAGAAAAAAAAAATTGATAAAGAAAAAGTTGTCTCAGAAAAACAGTCTGTTAAGATGGTCTTGCATAAAGGATTTCATCATCTTAAAAATTAAGCTAAGGCTGAATCATTTGTAATTTTCTTAAGTATGGAATTTAATGCTCAGTACTTGTTAGGTTCCATCCTTACCATTTATTTTAGTTCGGAAACATGACAGTTCGCATGAATCATACTTTAAACAATGTTAAATTTTTGTAATCTTAAGAATTCTTTAAATATGAAAGTTGAAAATTAGCTCAGTAGTAGTCATATTAAAAGTGTCATAATACCTTTAACTGGCTTCCTCTAATTTCATCTGGCAAATCATGGGAGAAATTTCTTTGCGGACCTCCTATGCCCTGATCAATGTTTCTGTTTTCCAATATTAGGAAGAATTATGAAGCAAAAACTTGCTTACGTTGACTCAGAATTAAAAATCAGTTTTCCGAAAAAGAATTTTTTTGAAGGACTGTTGGGCAGAATATTCTAAGAGATGTCCTTCTCCCCAGTTGATTAATTCACTAGAGTGATTTATTCAGGATTATGTACCAAAAGATAAGAATTCCCATAAAGATAAGTTCTGTGCAATCAGGGACAAAATCAGAAGCAGCAGCGGGTACATGGGAAACATACATTTTTCAGTTTATACTTCCTCATGGCTCTCTTGGATATCCTCTGGAACTGCTTCGAAGACTGAAGAATTTCATCCCCTAGAAACTCACACTGTTGAAGCTCCGCATGTCTTTGGGCCAATAACTTCATGGATTTATCTGTCACTGTTTCTATGAGGTCATCCACCTATGACAGAAACAAAGAAATGTAGCCACGTGTTGGAAAACCTTGTAGAAACCAAAGGGGCGGTTGTTTTTCCTGAGAGACAAGTTCAGGACTTGGTGGACGTTTTGTAAATCCCAAAGTATTATTCTAATTCAAGTCATGGCAAACAGAGCTTGAAAACATGCATTTACCACCCAGCGGTAAAGACGATCTCATTTCTTCTCAAAAGAAGGCTGTGTGCATGCCTTCATTCTAATTGAATTCACTCAATATTTATTAGGCACACAGCATCATCCGAGCTGCCCTTAGCAATCCTTCAGCCACCCTCAGAATGCCCCCCACTAACATTATTTCTTCATGCTAATCATTAACTTCATCCCACAGCCATGCTGTCTAGCAGGGCTGCGTGTTCAGTTCAACTGGGCCCTCTGTGATGCTTCTGAAAAACACAAAGCAAAAGCCTTTGTCCACTACCTGCATTTGAAGCTTTCCCACTGTCAAATCTGATTTTCGGAGGATGTTTTCCACTCTATGTTTCTTTTTTTTGAGTGCTGGAAAGTGGGATCTCTTTTTTGATGAGTACGGAACCTATCACAAAAATGCAAAAAAACCACTTCAGCTTAAGAAGTACCAACATTATTTCTGTGACAGTGCTTAACTAAGAATTCTCACCCTTGGGACAGTCTCTTATAAACTGAACATTTGCCACATAACAACATTGGGTTGGAGACAGCATTCATATTATTCTCCACGCCCCATGTATCTCCTTTGTGCCCAGAGCTCTCTTTGAAGAGATCTATAGGGTGCAGAGAAATGAGATTGGTTCTGAAAGAATATACAGTGTCGGGAAAAGCAGGTCATTCGTAAGGGGAAGAAATCATTGCCTCTGCAGCTGCTGAGCACAGTGAGAGTGGGGGTTGCTGAGGACCAGTGCCCCAGAAAGCTCATTAGCACTGGATCCAGTTGTTAATTTGGTCTCTTTTCTGCAGGTTTCCTTATTTTCGTGGCAGACATGTCTCCAAACATAAAAAGGAAGCTCTGGGTTCTTTTCACCCCATGCCTGATATTTTCCTATCGTCCCTGGCTTGCTGGTTCTAAGTACCTGCCCTAATAGTGTTGCTATTGGAAATCATTCCTAGGTCATGGCTCCTGGCTAAAAGGCTCCTTTTGGTCTTACTGGGTTCACTCTTCCTTCCCCTTGTGCTTAGTAACTAGTATTTGGAATTATTGTTAGACCTACACACAGTGGGAGGAGGAATCACATCTGGGACCTACCCTGTGTCTGAGTTTACAGACGAGTCTGCTGACCCACCACTCTGCCCAGCCAACTTGCCCAGGCTCGCATGTCCCTTGCCCGACCCTCCCCAGTCCATCTATATAGTTGGACTCCTCTTTTTTCTCTCCCATAAAACCCAGTACTTTTTCCTACTGAACACTCAGCACACGTGGTAATTGCTAAGTTATATCTGTGTTTGTTGAATACCACTATTCTAATGTCAAATGCCTAGATGGTCCAGGCAGGTTGTGTAAAACAGAACCAGTTGCAGCTGGTGGCAAACTGGAGAGAATGTGCCTCCTGCCAAGGGGCCAGCCTCTGCACATCTCCTGCTGTCAATCATGAGAAACTGTGGGCCTAATGCTCCCAAATCCCATTTTTCAAAAGAAGGCTTAAAATCCTGATTTTTTTTTGGAAATAGTCTCATTTTTCAGTGTGACCAATTAATTCACATACATTGTTGAGATCATTCTGAGAACTAAACAGAACTCTTCACAGCCAGTTGACAACCTTTGATTTCATGTCTTTCGCTGACCAGCAATTCTTGCTATAACCAAATATATCCATTTTTTTCTTTCATGGTCAGTGATACTTGTTCCTAAGAAGTCTTTCTCTATACTGAAATAATTTTTATTGTCCTCCAGAGGTTTTAAGGTTTTACCTTTTCCAAACAGATCTAGAACCCAACAGGAATTAATTTTGTATACGGTGTGAGATAGGGATCAATTTTCTTTTTTCCCCTATGAACATCTACTGGTCCCATTGCCATTCATTCAAAAACTTATCCTTACCTCAGTGCTCTGCAGAGCCATGGTTTAATGTCTATCCCCTCTACTAAACTATAAGGTTCACAAAACAGGACTATGTCTTTTAGTCCCCAAACCTAGAAATTGCCCAGTACATAATAGGAATAAAATGAATGCGAACCTAACACACAAAAGGCAAAACTCAAAACTAATATTGGTGCATTCTGACAATGATACTCTAGAACAGCACTGTTCAATAGAACTTTCTGCAAAAATGGAAATTTTCTTTCTTTATGTGCTGCCTAATACAACAGCCATGAACCACATGTCATTAGCAATCAACTTGAAATGTAGCTAGTGCAACTGAGGAAGTGAACTTTTATTTAATTTTAACTAAACAGTCACATATACCTAGTGGCTATCATTTGAGACAGTACAATTAGTATTCAGCATAGTAATTAAGATTAAGGACTCAAGAGCCAGACCTTCCTGGGTTTGAAACCTGTCTCTACCACTTATCTAAGCAAATTATTTAACCTCCCAGGGCAATCCTTAAAATAAGGATAGTATTGCCATCTACCTTTTTTTTTTTTTTAATGTTTATTTATTTTTGAGAGAGAGGGACAGAGCATGAGCAGGGGAGGAGCAGAGAGACAGGGATACACAGAATCTGAAACAGGCTCCAGGCTCTGAGCTGTCATAGGGCTTGAACTCACAAATTGTGAGATCATGACCTGTGCCAAAATCTGATGCTTCACCGACTGAGCCACCCAGGCGCCCCTGTATTGCTATCTACCTCATAGGATTGTTGTAATTATTATCTGAGTTAATATTTATAAAACACTTAGAACTGGAGCAGAGTTAGCTTTAAGTAAATATTTGCTGTATTTATGTATTTTTTAATAATTTTTTTAATGTTTATTCATTTTTGAGAGACAGACCATGAGCTGGGGAGGGGCAGAGAGAGAGAGGGAGACACAGAACCTAAAGCAGGCTCAGGCTCTGAGCTGTCAGCACAGAGCCTGACATGGGACTCAAACTCATGAACCACGAGATCATGACCTAAGCCGAAGTCGAACACTTAACTGACTAAGCCACCCAGGTGCCCCATTATTTGTTATATTTAAAATAATTAGGGCACCTGGGTGGCTAAGTTGATTAAGCATCTGACTCTTGGTTTCGGCTCAGGTCATGATCTCATGGTTTGTGAGTTTGAGCCCCACGTTGGGCTCTGTGCTGACAACGTGGAGCCTGCTTGGGATTCTCTCTCATTCCCTCTCTTCCTATCCCTCCTGCACTCTCTCTCTCTCAAAATACAATCTCCCTCTCAAAATAAATAAATAAACTGAAAAAATAATAGTTCAGGCGATTAAAAAAAAAATAGCCTGGGCAATTTAGGCTGAAGTTTATATATGCACAGATAAGCATAGGCTTTGGTTTGGAAACTCTTGGACTGTCTACTCCCACACTGTCTATACATGTGACTATCTTTAAATTTCACTTACAGTGAAATACAATTAAAAATTCAACTTTCTAATTGCACTGGCCACATTTCAGGCTCAAAAGTCACATGTGGCTATTGGCTACAATATTGGACAGTGCACACTTGTATCCTCACACAAAATTCTTTTTTTTTTTTTTAACGTTTATTTATTATTGAGACACAGACACAGAATATGAGCAGGGGACGGGTAGAGAGAGGGGGAGACACAGAATCTGAAGCAGGCTCCAGGCTGTGAGCTGCCAGCACAGAGCCCGATGCAGGACTCGAACTCACAAACCGTGAGATCATGACCTGAGCTGAAGTTGGACGCTTAACCAATGAGCCACCCAGGCGCCCCGTCCTCACGCAAAGTTCTCCTGGGCAGTGGTGAATTCCTCTCCACATACCATGTATGATTGACCTGATGCTAATAACATACTAACTTGATATTTGAATAGTTGACAAATCAGTGGAAAGCTCAGAACTCTCTATTGCCCAGATTATAGTAGAAGCTGAACCATCTGAGTCAGAAGTAGATGAATCAGACCCAGAAAGCCTGCTTCCTGTGCCCTAAATTCTTGGAGAGGAGGACACAGGCAGCAGATTTAAAGGCTTTATTATGAGAACTTAATTCTTATTATGAACACTGACTTATATGAAAGTCTGTAGAGGTGAGTGTGTTTTAGCATTGTACCTTCTGCAGTCCTGAAGGAAGGGATGTCACAGACAACCGCTTGGTGGTTCTCCTGGCCCGGAGTAGAGTATTTCCTCGGGTTATCTCCTCTGTCTCAGCTTCCACAACATCAAGTTGTATAGTCGCTTAGAAAGAAGGAGGGGGAAAAGAACTTGTAAGGATCACAATGATCAACTTTCTTACTAGAAAGCGCTGTGGGGGTGCCTGGGTGGTTCTGTCGATTAAGCAGCAGACTCTTGATTTCGGCTCAGGTCATGATCTCACGGTTCGTGAGTTCCAGCCCCACGTCGGTCTCTGTGCTGACAGTGCAGAGCC